ACGAAAGTGCTTGCCTTGCAAGTACGAGAATCTGAGTTCAATTCCCAGAACCCATGTTAGCTGCCTGGGTGGGACATGTTTGTTATCCCAGCACTGGGGAGGTGGAGAGAGGCAGCTCCTTGGGGCTTGCTGTTCAGCTACTCCATTCAGTGAAACAAAGGCCAATGAAAGTCTCTGCCTCCAAACAAAATGGTGGGACAGTGCCTCAGGAAGTGTACCCAAAGTTGTACTCTGACCCCTGCACAAACACTTACACACATACCTGTATATACATTTGCATACAACATAGGAGGGCCATTTGTCACATAGGTAGGACTCTGCCAATTTTACCCTTTTCTTCCTGTGTGACCTCAGGTAAATGTCTTGACCTCCCTGGGCCTCATGTCTCACCTATGTGGATGGTCAGGCTTTCTACCTCATAAAGAGCGCTGATGAATTGTGTTTAAACTGCTTAGGAGAGAGAAACAGATAAGTGTTTAATAAATGTTTATGTTTATTACTATTCTGATGTTTTGGATGAAGTGTAAGGAGTTCGGTTTTTCTGCCCACCGCCTGCTCTTGTTCCACCACCAAGCCAGCCCCAAATAACACACAGAGACTCTGTATTTGATACAATGCTGTTGGCCCTGTTACTTGTTTCTTATCGGCTAGCTCTGCCTTAATTATTAACCCATTTCTGCTGATCTATGTATTTCTCTTACCGGGGAGCCGGCGGCATACTGCTTTCTTCAGACTCTCCATCTTGACTCCTCCTTACCACTTCCTATTTCCTCCTTGTCTCCTAGTCCCTCCTATCTTCCTTTCCTATTGGCCAACAGTGCTTTATTATTAACCAGTATGAGAAACATATACAGAATGACATCTCCCATCATCTCCTCTTTTCTGTTTAAATAAAAAGAAGGGTTTTAACCTTAACATAGCAAAATATATCACATAACAGTTATCAAATAAGAATCACAGTTAACACTATTTAGTCCATTAACATTTATCAAGATTTAAGAAACTATTCCATCATCTATTTTATCTTTGTGAGTCTAAAGTTTTATATGTAACTTATCTTTAATCCTGACTAAGGAAAACTATAACCATAACTATCTGTCTTCAACTCCTTCAAAGACCACAGAAGGATAGTATATAAGCTCTAGAAATGACAGAGACATCTTGCCTTTTCAGTCACCCGAAGTTCTTCTGTAATCTTCCATCTTCAGCCCATAGGCCATAGTGTGTCTGACAGACTCTCCAGTAAAGCAGAAAACTTTAAACTGTCTTCTTTATTGGCAGTTTGTCAGTCACTTTTCTCCGTGTCCTGCATACTGTCTCGAAGACTCTTCCATGAAGCAGGATCTCTGTAGCAATGTCCATCTTGAATCAGGAGTCACTTTTCTGTGGGTCCTGCATGTCCAGTATATACAGCATAAAGTCAAACAGTCCAGACAAGAGCAGTATCTTGTCCAAATGGCTAGTCTTGCCATATTGGAAGTAAACTCCATAATGAGTTTCTTCAAGTCCATCTTCATCTTCCTTTCTGACACAGGTGGTGTTGCCAGGAACAATTATGTCTCATTGTCAAGAAAAACCCTAAACCATTTTAAATGCCATATTCTGTAGGTCTTTGAAAGATTTGAAGAATATCTATCTATCTCAAATACATCTGCATATCTAGAAATACTAACTAACTTAACTATAAGTTCTAAGTATCATAGGTAACTATCTATAATCTGTACTACATTATACATTACATTTCTAACTGAGCTCAATAAACACAATACCTAAACAAGAGGAGAAATATACATATCACCTTATTGACCTTAAATTGTATCAATAAATGAAAATCCATTCCAAAACAAAGTATTCATATCTATACCATAATTCCCTTTTTACCTTTAAAAAGAATTGGCTGTGATCATTAACCATTTATAAGCAAATCCATTTAAATGAAAACAAACATTTATAAACGATATTTGGGAATTTGGGCATCGTTCTTTCCAAACTACTTCCTGCTGATAGGGGCGCTGTCATGGGGAACCTAAGAAGATGCAGAAATCCTGGCTGTAGTCTGCGAGGCTGCTTTGTCCAGCTGTTTTGAATGTAGGATCACCAGCAACTGTTTCAGGGGGCCTGGCTTGCTCAAACCACATTAGTCTGCAAGGAATCCACAGCTTTTCATTTTCTGTGGAAACAAAAATAGAAATCCTTTTCCCCAGTAACTTGTCCTTGAACTTACATTTTTGAGTCAAAGCATTTTTAAAATATATAAATTGAATTAATCCAGCAGCATTTCCTTTATCAGTTGTTGTTATTTTCTCAGCAGTCAAACAATATAGAGACAACACAATAGCATACAATAACCAGATTCTCTCTGAGCTTTTCATCTTTACGTGCCTTTATTACTCTGTTTATTTTACTTTTATTTTTTTTTTTTATTTTTTGACATAGGGTTTCACTGTGTAACTCTTATCTGTCCTGGAATTTACTCTGCATACCAGGTTTACTTTGCAAATCACAGAGATCTGCTTGCCTCTGTCTCTCAAGTGCTGGGATTAAAGGCGTGTGCCACTACACCCAGTTCCTCTTTGTCTTTTTAAACTCATTTTATTTTTTTCCATGTCTCCTTATTTTAAAACACACTGTAAACCTTTAGATTCTTAATATGAATCTGTCTTTACTGTAAATCTTTATCTTCATCTGGCCACAAGTCTTTTATCTGGTAAACAACAACATTGCTAAAATGAAAGTCATAGCTGTATCAGCCGCGGTTTACCAAAGATGATGGCAGGTACTTTTACCCGCCAGCACAGAAAGCTGTGCTCACAGCCTTGCTCTGTGCTGCCATCCAGAAAGCATGCTGCTGGCTTGGAGATGTGGTCACTGCCATTGCCATCTCTCATACACAACAATAAATTGTTAGCAGAGTTATTTAAAAGCTGTGCGGTTTTTTGCCGCTTAAGCTGAGTCAGGAATCTTCCCTTAAAGGAGCCGAACAATCTGCGTGTCTCTAGCAAGTCAGAGTCCAACTGAGAAAAATGCTGCTACCAAGAAACCTTGCTTATCTCTGTTCTTTTGTTTCTAAAACCCATTTTTAACCTTTTGTTAAATTTTAAGTGGAAATTCTTATTACCCACGTGGGCGCCATTTGTAAGTAGTACGGGTTTTTCCGCCCGCCGCCTGGTATTGTCCTGCCGCTGCACCAGCTCCAAATAATACACAGAGACTCTGTATTTGATACAATACTGTTGGCCCGGTTACTTGTTTCTTAACAGCTAGCTCTGTCTTAAGTATTAACCCATTTCTGCTGATCTATGTATTTCTCTTACCGGGGAGCCGGCGGCATACTGCTTTCTTCAGTCTCTCCATCTTGGCTCCTCCTTACTACTTCCTATTTCCTCCTTGTCTCCTAGTCCCTCCTATCTTCCTTTCCTATTGGCCAACAGTGCTTTATTATTAACCAGTATGAGAAACATATACAGAATGACATCTCCCATCAATGAAGAAGTGAGATTCTTCTGCAGATGGGTTGTAGGATCAGCTGCCTTTGTCAAAGACAGGGAAATAACTGCTTCCTCAAGAAGGGTGTCTAAGACTGCATGTATGCCGGGCATGTTAACACACCTCAGTGCCCCAGTCTCTGTAAGACAAGTTCATGCCACCAAGCCCAGTCATATATAGTCTTGTTTAAAAAATTTGAGAGCTAGGTATGGTGGCACACACCTTTAATCCCAGCACTCAGAAGGCAAAGGCAGGTAGATCTGTACACCAGGTAAGCCAGGACTAGAGAGAGAGATCTTGTCTAAAAAATTCACTGTTGCACAATGCAAAGCAATTTCCCTAAAGACTTATTTACTTACTTATCTGCTATATTTTGGGGCATGGAGAATTGTTGTCACAGGCCTGGGACATGCTCATGCCACTGAACCACTGAGCCAAGACACTCCCCTCACCATCTCAAAGTCCTTCTGTTTCTTGGTTCCTTGAGTTTCTTTTTTTTCCATTGCAGCATATCTGTTGTTGGAACTAGGGGGTGTGGCAGGTATGCTTTGTGTCAGGTGAACTTTATTCTTCTGCCCACTAACCATGACCGAACATTCATGTGTCTGATTCACTTCTTTTGGACAGGCTTCCTTCCACAGTACCTAAGACTTGCTTAGTTTTACCTTCAAGAGGTTTTTAAAGGTTTATTCATTTTTATTAAAACAATTTTGCTTGCATATATCTAAGTGTGCCACACAAATACCAGAAGAAGGCATCAGATGCCCTGGAATGGAGTTAGGAGTTACAGACATTGTGACCTGCCTTGTGGATGCTGGGATTCTAACCCCATCCTCAGGAACAGCCCGTGTTGTTAACCCCAGAGACAGCTCTCCAGCCTCTATTATTATTCTTTAATCTGGGTGTGTGCATGTGATATGTTCATGTGTGATATGTGCATGTGTGATATGTGCAGATGCATGTGATGTGTGCATGTGATGTGTACATGCATGTGCCTCAGTGCTTCTGTGACAATGTTGGGTAGTCCTAACCTTTTGCCTTATTGGAGGCAGAAGACAGGGTTCCTTTTTTTAAAAAAGACAAGGTTCCTCTGTGTAGCCCTGACTCTCCTGGAACTCACTATGTAGACCAGGCTGGAACTCAAGGAGATCCACTTGCTTCTGCCTCCTGAGTTCTGGGACTAAAGGTGTGTGACACCATGCCTGGCCTGAGACAATGTCTCTTGATCACTGTACTAAGAGCTCACTAGCCTGTCAGCTTCTCAGGAGTCTCCTGTGTCTGATCCCAATTTGCCATAGCAGCCCTGAAATTAAAAATGTATTACAGGGGATTGGAGAGATGGTTCAGGGTTAAGAGAACCTATTGCTTTTCTAGAGGACCCAGGTTCAATTTCCAGCACACACATGGCAGCTAACAACTGTTTGTAACTCCCAAGATCTGATACCCTCACACAGACATACATGTAGGCAAAACATCAAAGCATATAGGATAAATTATTTAAAATAAAACATGTTACACTTTCCTTGTTGGGGGGATAACATGATCATGGAGGTGGTTTGCCCAGGGCCAGGCTTATCCATTGCACTCTGGATGTGCTGATCCCTGTGATTCCCCTAAATTCAGGAAACTCAACTACATAACTGTGGTAGTGGGGGACTGTGTGCGCTCTCTCCTGAAAAAATAAATAAAATAAAACATGTTGCTGGGCAGTGATGTCACATGCCTTTAATCCTAGCACTTAGGAGGCAAAGGCAGGCAAATCTCAGCAAGTTCTAGGACAGCCAGGACTCTTACACAGAAAAACCCTATCTTGGGGAAAAACAAAACAAAACAAAACAAAATATGCTTTATGTGAGATCTGAACACTGGGTCCTCATCCTTATATGCCAAATACTTTACCCACTGAGCCATCTTACCATACCTCTCTATCTATCTGTCTCTCTGTCTCTTGTCTGTCTATCTGTCTCTCTACTTAGCCCCAGCTGTCCTGGAACTAGCTAAGTAAATCCCCTGATTCTTTTGGGAATAAAGACATGTACTACTGCACCCACTTTAAACTAGATTATAAAAACCATTTATTTATTATTTATTTTGTGTCCATTACAGGGTGAGCAAATGGAGGTCAGAAGACAATTTTCAGGAATAGGTTCCCTTCAGCCTTTAGATGGGTTCTGGAGATGGAGCGCCTATTGGGCTCTGAAGCAAATGGTTTTACCTAGCACATTTCTCTCTCTCTCTTTTTTTTTTTTTTTTTTTTTTTTTTTTTTTTTTTTTTTTTAGGCAGGTTTTCTCTTTGTAGCCAGGGCTAGCCTATATTTCACAATCTTAGTCCTCCAAATCCTGGAATTGCATGTATATGCCATTCCTCCTGGTTCATGGTTTTTACTAGTGATATAGGCAGGTCCAAGTCACTCAGGGAAGCAGGGTCCCCTCATTGTGGAGTGCCTCACAGGACAGATGAAACTGTACTACTGAGCTACTTCTGTAGTCTTCTGGGATTCTGGGTTTTCTCTTTTTGTTTTGCACAATAGGGCCTCATATAGCCCAGGATAGCTTGGAAATCTATGACTGATGATCTTAGTTTTCTTTTTAAGTACTTTTGAGCCTCACTGTGAAGCCCTGGCTGGCCTGGGATTCACTATGTAGAACTGGCTGGCCTTGAACTCAAGAGATCCTCTGCTTCTACCTTCCAAAGGACTGAAACTAAAGGTGTGTGCTATCATACCTGGTCCTGACCTTGAATTCCCAACACTGCTACCTCTTAAATGCTGCAATTACAAGGGTGAGCCCTCCATCCAGCCACAGTGTGATTTTGATTTGAATTTTCCTTTTTAAAAATTTTGTACTGGGGCCCGGAGAGATGGCTCAGTGGTTGAGAGCACTGGCTGTTCTTCACAGGACCCAGGTTCACTTCCCAGCACCCCCAGGACAGCTCACAACTATCCATAGCTCCATTTCTGGGGGTTCTGGCACCTTCACAGACATACACGCAGTAAATCACCAATCCATATAAGATACAAATAATTTTTGCATCTGGGTGGTGGTGGCACATGCCTTTAATCCCAGAATTTGGTAGATAGAGGCAGGAAGAACTCTGTGAGTTCAAGGCCAACCAGGTTTACAAAGCTTGAACTCACCTTCAGTCCTAGTTGTCGGTATTTTGGGGAGCTGTCTGGCCTGGCCCTACAAATAGTACACGAATCACTAATCTGCTATTAGTCACCTCCGTTCCCAGCCTTCTGAACAGAAAACAGGTTTACATCTTTTGTCTCAAAACAAAACAAAAAATTGTACTGGGTTCTATAATGCAGAGGCAGGTGTACCTCTCTCCATTCAACATCAGCCTGGTCTACATAGTGAGTTCCAAGACAGCCAGGGTTGTGCAGAGAGACCCTGTCTTAAAACAATTCATCTAGGCCTCCTGAGCTGCCCCCAGCCCCTTACTGAGCTCAGATGACCTTTACACTATCTGTGTGACTAAAACCACAGTAGATCTTCCCCTAGGCCCTGGTGATGGTTTGAATTTGAAAGAAAATAGCAGCCTGGTGGTGGTGGTGCATGTGCACACCTTTAATCCCAGCATTTGGGAGGCAGAGGCAGGCAGATCTTTGTGAGTTCAAGTCCAGCCTGGTCTACAAAGGGAGTTCCAGTGTTCCAGTACAGTTAGGACTACACACAGAGAAACCCTGTTTAAAAAGAAAATGAAAATAGCCCCAAAAGAGATTGGTACTATTACTAGGTGTGGCACTAATAGGCTTTGCTGGAGTGAATGTGGTCTTGTTGGAGGAAGTGTGTCACTGTAGAGGCAGGCTTTGAGGCCCCAATATGCTCAAGTGTCTAGTGTCTAGTGTCTGTTTCCTGTGGAATCAAGAAGAGTTGTCATGGTCATGGTATCTCTTCACAGCAATAAAGCCTTATCTAAGATAGAAGTTGGTACCAGGGACTGGAGTATAGCTCTTATAGGCCTGACCGTGTTTTTGTTTGAAAGAATATGAACCTTGGGACTGTGGATTAGAAAATCAGTTGAATGCTTTAAGTGTTGCTTAATGGGTCATACTAGTAGGAGGATGGAAAACAGTGGTGCTGGATGTGATTTGATGAATTATGGGAGCCTGGTCTGTAGAGCAAGTTCCAGAACAGCCAAGCATAGGCAGTGAAGGAAACTATGGAAAACAGAAAGCTGGTGAAGATGTAAATGAATGAAGGGGGCATGTTCCAGCCCCAGCAAGCAGCAGAACCTGGCAGCTCTGGCCACGTTGTTCAGGTTTTAAGGACAGAAGAAAGGGGTTATGAAATATTCCTCAATAAATAAGGAAAGCCACTGAGGCCAGGCACGCTTGTGTCAGGAAAGTCCCTCAATGGAGGTCTAGAGAGGCCATTGTGAGAAGCTGTTAGGGTAAAGCCTGGATTGCCTTGGAGAACCCAAGATGTTGGGTTCTACCATGGGATACCAGCCAAGGATAGAGGTTAACAGGGAATGGAACCAGCCGAAGAGAAAGAAGTGTGTTGCAGTCAACAAAGCTGAAAGGACATGTAAAGAGTGTTTTGATATCAGTGTTTGGGTGGAGCACCGACTGGAGGGGACTTGACGTGGGATAATGCTCTTGTTCACTGTAAAGATTTGTCACTCCTGGTGCCCACAGAGGCCATAATAGAACATTGGATCCCCCAGAACTGTAATTACAGACAGTTATGAGTTGCCATGAGAATTGGGAAACACACCCAGGTTCTATGGATGAGGACACAATTCTTACTACTGAGCCCGTGCCTCTACTTCATGAGAACTGGGATGACAAATGTACACAACCATGTCTGGCTTAATAGTTACTGGGATGAAATCCAGCTCTTCATGAGCCATAGTCCTTTTTTTTTTTTTTTTTTGAGACAAAATTTCTCTGTGTAGCTTTGGAGCCTGTCCTGGAACTCAATCTGTAGATCAGGCAGACCTCACAGAGATCTGCCTGCCTCTGCCTCCCAAGTGCTGGGTTTAAAGGCATGTGTCACCAGTACCTGGTAAATATGTAGCTCCGGCTGGTCTTGAACTCAAGATCCTCCTGCCTCCATCTCCTTCAGCAAATCCTATCAGCATGTGCCACCACACCCACTGGCACATACAGATATTCATGGAGACTTCCACACAGCCATATATGTGGACACACAAAGGGATATACACAGATGTGGACACATGGAGGGCATGCAGTCACACTGAAGACACCACACTCTACCAAAAGCATTTCAGATTGGTCACCTGAACAGTGTGTTCTGATGTTTAATATCCTTTTTTTTTTCTCTTGCTATGCTGCCCTGGATCTGAATAGCTTGGCTCAAGCAATCCTCCTGCCTCAGCTTCCCTAGAAGCAGGGCTGATGGGGGGGGATGTCCTTCTGTATATGTTTCCCTTAATGGTTGATGAATAAAACACTGTTTTGCCAGGAAGATGGGAAGGGCTAGGAGAGGAGAATACTAGGAAAGGTAGGCAGGGAGAGACTGGGAGAGTCATCATGTAGACCACAAAGCAGTAACAAGTCCAGGCATTCTCCAGTAAGCTAAGATCACGGTAAAATTCATAGATTTATAGAAATAGGTTAATAATTAAGGCAGCTAGCCAATAAGTAGTCCTAACCATTAGCCAACAGTTTAATAATTAATATAAATCTTCATGTTCATTTGGGGCTGAGAAGGGTGGCAGGACCTGGTGGGACAAGAAAATCCCCAGCAACACAGTGTGGTCTCTAGATAACGCCACCACATCTATTCTTGCTTTTTTGTTCTGAGCCTAACTTTTTTTTTTTTTTTTTTTTAAGATTTACTATTATGTATATAGTGTTATGCCTACATGCCATAAGAGGGCACCAGATCTCATTACAGATGTTTGTGAACCACCATGTGGTTGCTGGAAATTGAACTCAGGACCTCTGGAAGAGCAGGCAGTGCTCTTAAGCTCTTCTAGCCCCTGAGCCTAACCTTTAATAGCTGAGCTAATCCTCCAGCCCCTTGTTTTCATGCCTGTAATAAATAGTATGTAAAAAAAGGTTCAGTTCATAGTTCTTCAGCTGGTATCCTCTGTCTCCTTCTAGTTCTTATGATGGTGTCTCTGGCCTATGCCTGCCCTTTCCTAAATGTGTTGAGCTACACACCCCTCACTCCCCTGGCAGCCCATGGGCAGAAACTTTACACTGCAATGCCAGGTGGTGGGTGGTGAGCCTCAGTACCACCTCAGCATGGTCCTATTCCATGAGAGGAAGAGTTGACCTGACAGCTTGTAGAAGATGAGGGAACCTTACAGAGATCACAGCCATAGTGTTAGAATAGAAGCAACCATGGGGCTAGTTTCTCCTGCCATGCCAAACTCCACCTCCATCCACAAGGGTTGGGGCTGTACCAGAATATCCCAGCCCAGACAGCTGTGAGCTTTTAGTAAGGGGTTTGAGCTGAGCCAGAGTAGTAGGTGTCCAAGCTGAGAAGGTACATGCGTGCCCTGGGGAAGGATGCCTCTAGCAGTAGGCTGAGAATGAGTATGCCCCTCCCTGGAACTGGGATGGACTGTACTACCTGGGAGATGGTGGCACACACCACACCTTTAATCTCAGCACTAGGGAGGCAGAGGCAGGCACATCTTAGTGAGTTCAAGGCCAGTCTGGTATACAAATCGAGTTCCAGGTCAGCCAGGACTCT